AAAAATATTGAATAATAATGAATCGGTAATAATAGTAGGAGGAACATTACTGTTCACTGGAAGGCGAATTAGCATTAACATTACCACCACTTGATTTTCTTTGCAGAGAAACCTGTCTAATGTCATTTGTTTTTTGTATATTTTTAAAATCTTTTTCTGAACTGTTGCATTATATTGCCATTAAACAGGTTGATACTCCTATTCACAACTGCAATATTGGGGCGTCACTTCTCTACAAGGCGTGATGACCACATGATTCACTGTTTGACTCTTGAGTTTTTGTTCGAGTTTCAAAACCAGACTTTCTTTGAATTTTTTGTTCAAACATCAAACCATTTGAAGTTCAAGGGTCCACTGTACTTCTAAGGGGATCAATCTGTATAATAATAATAAAAGCACTTTGGGTAGGCCTACTTGATACTAATGGCATAATGAAGATGAAGTTAAGCAGGAAGGTCGGATAATGCTCATATCCAAAATTTTGATTTCTGATGTGTTTGTATTGTGCTTTCTTTGTGTTCTGGATATTCTAGGAATGTCACAGTCTTGGAATGATGATTGCTGCAAATGAAAACAAACAAACAAACATATGTTGAACTTTCAAACTTGCAGTCTAGAAAGAATTACTTACTTTCTGTTCTTTGCCAGTGGCATTAGTACTGCAGGACAGTATTCAAGGTCCAGAAATGCAAAAATTGTAATTGCAGCGTACCATGTAGAAGTGTTTTATAAGGAATACTGGAAAGTGTCTTTACTTGGATGATACAGCTTGAGCCTCAGATAACTTCGGTCATCACCGCTGGAACGCCTGCCTCTGTATGAATGGATTTCGGCCTCTGGCGTGGATGTAATAAGCCCGCAAGCCATGATTGAATTCAAAATGGCCTCTGGCGTGGGACAGAGAACCCCGCAAGCCTTAAAACGTCATAGAGTACATGACAGTAGAGAGGACATGAGTGAATGATTTGCGGGTGTATTCTAGCGCAGTTCATGATCGGTGTTGTCTGGTTGTCTTTGCTTGTAACTAGCAAGTAACTGTTTTAGGTATTCCATTTTCTCAGAGGAGTCTCTATTTTGTGTCTCATGGTACCTGTGATTGCTGCATTTCATTTTAAAAGTGTTTATTTCAGTAAATGGACATTTTTTACTCCAACAGAAAACTAAATCATGATATAAGACACTCAAGCTCCCAGGCCCCAAACTATTTCTCACAGAGTTCGCATACCACACATGGTATACATCCAGGAAAGAGGATGTATAATTGAACCCCTTGCTTTTATTTACATCCTTTGTAATTATGCTGTAATTGTGAAACTTGAAAGCCTCAAATCTTACTTAACAAGATAATGTTGCTGTTGATTCAGAGAATCCATATTCGTGGTATGACGCTAACCGGTAGTATTACTGCTTTGGTAACATCAACTTAGAAGATCATTTAAGAGTCCATGGTTGTGCCTTATCAAGTAAATTTAAGTTCAATTCAGCTGAGAGGTGAGAAGGAAGATGCCCCATATACACAGTCGTTATGGCATCAGGTCTACTGCATATGTCAAGGTAACCATCACCATGACTGTGACATCGTACTGTAACCGATCATTGCCTACTGGCTTAGTTCTTAAATATTGCTAGCCACAATATAAATTTTAATTCTGTTAATACTTAGGACTTAATACTGTTGTGCCCCAGGTTATTAATGGGTATGATTTTATTTAACAAGGGGTCGATTTTATGTTTGATTATAAGTCTTGTAAATTGAAATACGTTAGGTGAACCACAGGTAGGCCAACTGGAAACAAGGGTTGAGATCATCTTTAGACATAGCACATTCCTCAGGCATCCGGCTTTACTTGGTGACTTTACACACTTTTGCTGTAACTATTCTGAGAATTTGTGGCAAGGAATGTTTACATAAGAGCTACTAGAAAGATTTTTGACAGCCAGTGCGGTATGTGAATCGTTTACTCTTCCCACCAGCTCAATTAAAGAAACTTCCAGAACATTTTCAAACTGTAGAAAAGTGAGGAAGCATCAGGAAAGATCTCGATGTGGAATATTCTGGAAGAATTATGTCATCCAAGAGTATTTAAAGGCTGACTTCAGATGGTGCTGATATATAGTATTCAGAATGTGTGTGTACATGTAGCATTCCATGTGTGGTATTCATAATATTCATTGTAATCATTGAGTGTTGTGTAAAGTTGTGTGTGTACCAGAACAGTTGTATCCTTGACCTAAATTGACTAATTAATGTAACACTATGTAGCACTGTGAACAATAAATCAAGTTCAACCATTTCATCAGTAAAGTGTGATCCAGTGACTTCTTCAGTAAACCCTCTTGTCAGAGGGTTAAGCCCTGACTGGAATCATCATGCCCGCACCCTAGACGTCATTCCTGTATCCATCCAGACATTACTCTCGATAAATATGCCGTGGTTACAAGATCATGTGGCATCCAACCATAGACAAGGAGTGAGTGGAAGATGAAAGCAAAAAAGGACGGTTACAAGAAGTGGTGCCCAACGCTAGGCTCCATCACCGTGTGCGAAGGACTGTCAAACTACAATACACCGATCATAAAATGGAGACCATGTAATTACTGTTAGGTATACAGTTTAGTTCTGAGCCACTCATTACATATCTCATTTCGTATATAACTTATTTTATAAGGATTCCAAATATTTAGATATGATATTAAAATTTATATTTGCTCTCAATCTTCCTTGGTAGCCTGGTGCTTCACTGCTTATCATAACCCATTTGATACCTAGGGAATCAGATATTTGTATTCATATCCAGTACATCTGCAGAACTGCTGAGATTAAACATTAAAGGACTAGTTTCTGAAGTGTATTATGTGTTACGATCCATTTTTATGTATTATATGGATTACATAAATTGATTCTGGTTTTATAGGATTTTAAGTGGTTTTGATCATATTAGACTCTTAATATATTACGCAACGTGTCCACAAAGCCTGGAGGCTGGGAAGTTAATTTCAACAAAATATTTCATCAGTGCAATGTCTGAAGTTAATAAGAACATAATTCATCATAGCAACATTTTTATCCAGTGAAGCACAATTTTTTTGTGTCTTCAGTAAGGTGGTGGCCGTTACAAAATTCAATAAAATAATCTCTGCCATTTCCATCGCTCACATCTACACGGTATCAGTTCAACTGTCTCATCATCAGTCAGTGCTATATCAAAATACTGTGGCCTCTCTCAAACAAAAGAAGAAAAACGCTATTCGTATAATTTACAAAAATATTAAATCGTACCCATCATTCAGGCAAAACTAATTATGCATAATTTAAATGTATATATTTTTCATCGAAAATATATTGCCACATAGCAAATGTATATGTTTTCTGCCTTGATTATCTTAAACTAAAGCAACAAAATTTCTAGTTTTTAACATCAGGCATTGTAACATACTGTCCTTTTGTAATTGTAACTATATGTATTTCATATTAATGATGCACATGTGTTTTAATAACAGTAATAACAATAATATGACAAAAAAAGGCTGTATTTTTAATTGGCACATGAATGTTACTTCACTGCAAAAAATATTTCTTACTAGCTGCATGGAACAGAGCCCTCCTTGTGAAGTCACAAGTCACCCAACTACTCAAGAATTTTCCAAAATTTTACAGAAACCGAAGGTTCATTATTGTGTTAAGAACAACTGCCACTGTCCCATATCCTGAGCCAGATGAATTTAGTCCATACGTGTACTGCCAAATGCAGTGTCAGCACTGCCACTGCTGGATCCACACTCCTTGTGCTGAAGTGAAACAAAGTATGAACAACTACTGCTCTACATGCAACACGAGGTAGATTCTTTCTGATAGCCTACTTTAAGCCACAAGGAAGTTAAATATCAATATTGTAAGCCTACCAAAAATGTAATTATTTCTAAATACCATAGATGTATTTTCACTTATCATTTTATCAAGATGTACAATTTATTTGTGCCCCCTGCTGTATTTTAATGGTTATGTTTCCTCCTTTTTTACTTCATTTTAAAATTTTGAACAATTTTCTTAGACTGTAGATTTAATTTCATTGGTTTTGGGGGAATGGTCCACTGTAGGACACCTGTGGTCCAATTTATGAAACCAGTTGACTAGAATGGACTGATGCCAATAGTTTAGTTTTTTGTAGTCCTACTTTTATTAAACGTTTTTGGTCACGATAAATATATGACATGAAAGTACATATGATGCTTGTCTTATTCCCATATTTGTTTCCTTTCTGCAATGTTTCAATGTTTGCATATAAGAGAAAAATTAAAAACTGTTCTAAATTCGGCATCTCTCCCCTATATATCTATGTGCTGTCGCCAGAATGCTTGACAGAATCATAACATACATATAGGTAGTAGATCCTTTGAGAATGTGGCAAGGTTTAAAATATTTGGGAATGACAGTGACTCGTGAGAAAATCAAGAACAAATTAAATTCGGGCAATGTTTGCTGCCACAATGTTAGGTGGGTCTGTTGTCACCACGACATGGCAGATCCTCACATTGCAGATGGAGGAGACATCCTCCAGGTATTCAGGGAAGCTGTGAATATATTGAATATGAAGTTGCAGACAGCCGACAAAGGTTCGTCCTTCAGCTTGGGGGTTGGGTGTGGGACTGACAACAACTCACCGTAAAAAATAAGCTTGTTACGAAAATGTTCAAGAGGCCTTGGACATGGACGGATTTTGTTAATAAACGGCCTAGGCGAAAGAAAATGGGTATGCGGTTTGATACCTGGAATGTTAGAACTATGTATAGGGCAGGTTCGTTCAGGGCAGTGGCGGAAGAAATCTCAAAATATAGGTTAGATTTTGTAGGAGTACAGGAGGTCAGATGGGAGTGAGATGGCAAAAACCAGCAGGCGAATATATACGTGGTTCTATCCAAAAGTTCCCGAAATTTGAATTTTGCGGCCGAATGGTTATGAGTACATCGAAATACCACTAGGTGTCTCCCCACACACCCTTCTTGAACAGTTCTTGAAATCGAAATCGAAGCTGATCAACCGCTCATCAACTCATCAAGCTCATCAAATTCCAAGGGAGTGGAAGCGAAAGTGAGTGAAGGTAAATACCACTTAGCGGTATATAGAGCTTATAGAGCCATTGATTACGTACATTCTCTAAGAGCTTGTGATGAATGTTTAAAATCAATGCATATTTTTCTGAAGTATTTTATTTGCCCATTTCTTGTAGTGGAGTCGATAAATGAATGTTTTCCTTTTAGCACCACACATGAAGTAATGTCCTCAAGAATACAACGGGAAATTTCGTTGATGTCTTCACAAGAGCATGCCACTGGACCCAGGCTTAGCTAAACGAGTCAGTTCAAACCATTCTTTGAGAGAAGTTTTAATGTTATGTGTATGTAGGCCATTCATTCATTCATTCATTTGTGCATTCATTTTATTTTATCTTTTAGATCAAAATACATTCCCATTATCGAAATACGTTAATGATTATGGTATAAATTTCTTGGAAATATAGCTTATTCTGTACATGTGCTTGTCAGTAGTCAAAAGTACAGCATTCTTTATTGAGATAATCATCTGTTGAATAATGGCATCCCTTAATAAGACCTTCAGTTCCTTTTTGAACTGGTTGTTACCTATTCGTTTTCCGTTGCTAGGCAATTTCTTATAGCCGATACACCCTGCTACTGATGGTTTACTGTTAGAAAGTTCTAAATTATGTATATTCCTATAGTGAGTATACTGTTAATATCTTTAGTCGCCTAAAGCTATTACTACATCATTCCAGTTGTTTTAACCCTGCTGTTTACTTTACAGCCCCTTTTTAAAAACATAAATACTGATCTAGTCAGTGCTTTTGATCTCTGTCCGCATACAGCGATTCTGTATGCCAGCAAGGGATAAATCGAACCACAAAATAGCATTCTTACATTCATATCAAGTATTATAGAGGGTCTGTTAATTATAAATAAGTTAACCACTGATTCTAATACAGGTTATTTCAATGTACTTCCCAGCATAGTTGATTGAGGCACTGTGCTACAAGCCGGAAGGTCACGGGTTCAAGTTCCGATGAGGTCATTGGATTTTTTTTTTCAATTGACCAAATCCTTCCAGCTGCACTATGGCCCTGGGGTCAACTCAGCCCCTAACAGAAATGAGTACCATGAATATTCTTGGGGGTAAAGGGCGGCTGGCACGTAGGGCTGATAAACTTGTCGCCATCTATGAGCTGATTGTCTAGAAAATGTGGGAACCTCAACATCTCACAATCCTATGGGCCTCCGCTGCCTGTTACAGGGATAGCTTTACTTTACTTTTACTTTACTTCCCAGTTCAGGTTACTGTTAATTATAACCCCAAAGGAAATTAGTACTTTTTACATTAACTATTTCCCTATTCATTATTGGGATTTTTAGTTCACTTTCCTGCCTGTTTTGCTTTGTCTGGAAGATAATTTAGTGCGTTTTGGTTTTGGTTTCCAAGTAGTCTCTTCTCTTTAGGAAGGGGACCACTTGCTGTTGTTATTGAAGATTGTATAACCATGCACAAGCATTTGTGAATGAGTTCTTCATTTCTCATATACTGTTATGTATGTCTGCATACCCATTTTATGGAACCTTTCACCCTATGTCATTTTCTGGAAACATGGCAGTTAGAGGTGGATGAAAGACCCATCTAATCAAGACTATAATATACGAATACTTATAGTTAACAGCATTATTTGACTGGATTTTATATACTTCCTCTTTCCCATTGATATGGGTGATTACCTTCTTTGCAACCTTCCTGTTTAACCAGATTGCATCCTCGCTGAACTCACTTTGACCATGAAGTTGAGGCAGCATATTGGTCTGAAACATAGGTATCTGCTTACAAGACTGCACAGTGTCAGAAGAAAGAAGACCAACGTGTGAATAGTCATTTCTGTGGAAACCTGAAAGTGAATATTTGAGTTTGACAAAATATGTTTGATGAGATAATTGTGTAATTGTATTAATGTGCAATGGTTTGTTTCAGAACTGTAACTAAAAATGATTCATATTGATCCGAAGTCAGAACCTGCCGAAGAGAATAGACCTGACCGTATAGTAATAACCAAAGCAAATGCATTGTATACTACATTTGGCAGTTCATATTGCATGGAACGTTTTTTCATAAACAGGACAGATTGCTGGCACAAGTTCACGGTTGGTTAATATTTCAGTTAGGGTGTAATTAATAATTTCATATAGCAACATATGTTTATAGTACATTTCTGAACAAGCATTTTCAAATAAAATTCATGCAATTTGTTTTCTTCCTTCACAGATTTCAGTTGTATAAATCTATTATTTTAATCATAGTTCAGGTAATGTTACTTTATAATCAAACAATGCAGTGACCTCAGTAGAGAACAGGTGTTGAGGGACAGCTTCAGTATCAGCATTATAAGTTCAATTAACATTTATCTATATTTGGAATCCCTATTATGCAGTGACTAAAATATTTATGTGAAATTTAAGGTATGTTCAGGCTCTGGTTGAGTGGGTAAAAGAGGTGCTCATTCAATTTTGCTGTTTGAGCAAAATAATCCTGAGGTTAGAGCAACCAGAAACATTCAGCCTGTTCATGGCAGACTTTGTGTTATGTGCCTGTAAAGTGTGGCAAGTAATGTTGCAATACAGTTTTATACTGCAACAAATATTTCATAGAAATTAGTATGACAGAAACATATGTAATTACACTGGGGGACATGATTAGATCTGTGCTGCTTTTGAATCTGTGGTGTAAAGAGGAGGGCATACTGAATTGTAATTTTGTCCATGGGTTAGGGTGCAAAATTACATTTTTTTTTTTTTTTTAGAAGAACCTTTAACCATATGTCATTTCATGACCCTCTACAAATTGATGTTATTTCATTTAGACTTTCCGTAAGACATAATGTGCATATTATGTGGAACCTTATAACCAGGTGTGTTCAGGAGCAGGTCAAACCAAACTTGCGCATAAAAGTTCAAGACAGATGAAAGGAATGCCCTGGAAGCAAGTCCAGCCTGGTCAGATGCTATATATAATGGAGGAATTATTCACAAGCCCCTGGTTAAGTGTGGGGATGTAAGCTGTTAAAAAAAATTTGCAATTGACAGCCAGTCGTTACAATTCTATTTGCACACCCGTGCCTCTAATATTCATTCAGAACACATTTTTTTCTGAGTAGAGACACCCAAAAGTGTATTTAGGTCCCAGAGTAATGTTTCTACAAAAATAAAATGGATAAAACCTGTATATCAGGTAGCTACAGCTCATATATTTGTGTGTAGTAGGAGTGCTTTACATTGAGTCCCATTAAAAATAGGACTCAAAATATAACATAAAAATTAATTTTGGGTTCCTAAGTAACATGACCCTTACAGTGAATTAAGGTGAATGGAATTTATACATGATAAAGCATATATTGTGAAGTGCCCTATAACATCAAAGTATGTGGAAGGACTAAATATATCTGTGAAAGATACAGTTGTGTTCTTGAATACGGTATGACACAATACATGTGAGTTCTACTATTCCGCACTGAAGAAAATCAGCCAGTATCTCTCTGTGTGTGTAAGTAGGAATCTGAGCAAGAGAGAGTAGGGAGAGAAGTTGTTTCTTTTGTTTAAAAAGGATGTTAGTTCTTTCACTTTTTATTCATTCCTACAGATTTATATGACTTAGTTACACGTTGCAGATTCTTCATGGCAGGATCCATGACAAGGAGTTCATTTTGAAACTAATCATGGATAATGTTTATCCAGTGGAACTTTTTCCAGTAATGGTAAGAATCTGTTATTTTCATTAAGTAAATTCTTTACATCAATGATCTATAGATTTTGGCAAAACATCTAATATCTTTGTAAACTATTTATGTAAAAATAAGGAATAATTTTTAAGACTGCAGCCATACCTAACAATGTTCCCACCACCTTAAAAGGCTAGATTTAACTTTTGTGATGGTTACAGTGATTTACGTATCAGGAAAATACAGTCGTGCTTCTGTGGTTTTTATAACAGGTTACAATCTCATATATTTTTACAACTTTTTGACACTGTCATTTTTATAATCAACATACTTGATTTAAACCAGAACAAACTTTCATGCATGTTATCAAGAGAAAGTGAAGGTTTCTGCTGTGTGGTTCACCGTTTCTTGGTGTGGTATTTCAGCTGTGGTCTAGTGGTCAGAGTTCCTGGCTACAGATCCTGAGGTCCCGGGTTCGATTCCTGGTGCTACCAGATTTTCTGAGAAGTAGTGGGTCTGGAATTGGGTCCATTCAGCCTTGTGAGGATAATTGAGGAGCTGTTTCAAGGAATGGCTGTGGGGATTCATTGTGCTGACCATGCGACACCCTCTATCCATTAAAGTTGGTACTAACTTCGTCAACAAGTGGCGGTTGCTTGGGTGGTATAGTTTGCTTGTGGACTTGAGCAACAGGGTTTGTTATTTTTTTGTTTGTAAACAAAAAAGAGAAGTTTATATTTAAATTTCATTTATTATTTAATGTGCATGAATGATTTCTGTGTTAATTAGCACCGTTGACTTGAAGTAAAATGTTTATGGAAAACATGTTCAGTATTTGAAGCACCTGCACTGGAGACCGTGTGAAGTGAATGTTGAGAATTGGCATCTCCTCATTTGTTAAAACTCTGGCATCTGCTCTGCTTAGTGTGTTAACATTTAACAAATGAAATATCTTCTTCCAAATTCATGAACTGCGGGGAGGAGAAAAGTTTTTTCATACACATAGTCTTGTTAATACTTCTATAGTGGTAATAACAAGGGTTGGGATCAACAAAATGTTCACTGAGATTATCCAAAATTGTATTTGCTGTGTGCAGTTGAACCCTATCCTGCTGAAGAGCATTTCCTCAAACTGAACACTCGTGCATCGGAGAAATGGTGTTAAGTCTTCATCAGGGACTTTCCAGTAGTATTCAGATATCACTGTATTGGCTAGGAAAATTTGGCCAGCAGTGCACTATGCCATTAACTAGTTGCAACGATCAGTGGAGACCTAAGTCTGAAGGTTTTGGACATGCATACATGATTCAGGACACGCAAAAGGAACCCATCCTATAGATGGGATCTGATGAAATGCTACCGAAACATGTTTATGATAGACCCTTCACGATGAGATTTGCTGATAGAAGTGAATGGAAAGGGGTTTCAACTCAATAGAAAGAGGGGACTAATCTGGTATACAGATGGCTCCAAGACAAATATGGGCACTGTAGCTGGAGTGTATTGGAGTGTATTGTGATGGAACAGGGCAAAAATGCAGTTTCGGCCTTGGTCAGTATACAAAACAGTATTCCAGGCAGAAGTGTGTGCCACTAAGGCATGCGCCAATGAGAATTTAGATAGAAACTATAAAAATAGGAATATCTATATTCTATCAGATAGTCAAGCCCCAGATGGGGTTTGACACCAAGAAAGACTGACTGAATGACTGTCAGTCGCAATGCGACTTTGACTTTGACTTGAAGTGATACAGGAAGTTACCATGTGTAGCAGCACTTTCTCACAAGCCTACTTGCAAATTACTGACAAAATTATGTGTTTATGTTGAATATTTCAGTTGATGTATGCAGTTTAAACTGAAGCATTTTATTTATTGCCCCTGTGTTTTACAGTATAAGGAAGAAGGAGAGCACACGTGCTTTCTGGCAAAGAGATGTGGTTCAGCCATTGAGAAGCTTTGCCGATCACGTCTGGTCATTAACACCCCCAGTGGTCTCCCTGTAAGTTTACATTAATTTTTCACTTTTGCAGAATATCATTCTCCATTCTGATATGTCCAGTAAAATTCTGGCAGGATCAGGCAAGACCTCAGGAATCACATGGATTTCCAGAATTTGGAGGCAAGGAATAAAAGTAATAATAACTGGTTCATTTATCAGTAGAAGTATAGTACAGTGCTTGTTTTTTAAAATGCAACCATAAGTGATATTTATATATTTAAAAAAGTTTCAAAAACATTTCAGTTACAAAAAGAAGTGTAGAATATGAAAATTGTGTACAGTAAATGTTAGAAGGTGTATCCTGCCTCTTCTCTGCAGTGTTTTACTTGAATTATTATATTCTGTGCCAACTTCTGAAGGGTAACTTCCTTGATGTTCCCAGTAGCTATTTCAGTGTTTACTTTTAGCTGTTTGATTATTCTTGGATTGTTTTCAAACACACCACTTTTAAGAGGCTGTAATCCTTTGGGAATGATTCTGGGGGGAGAAAACTCATCCACCATTTCCATGGTTTCATGTGCAGTGTGGCATGTGGCTGCATCTTATTAGAACTAACAGTTTCATTGGCCATTTATTTGTAAGGCAACGAACTGCATTGCAGTATCTTGATAAACTTCTCCTGTTATGGTTGTTCAAAAAAATGTCGCTGGTTATTCTTTTGTCTGACATTGAACACCAGATGTATTTTCTGAGTGTGTAGCAGAGATTGATGACATTTATGGTTGTTCTCTGCACTCCACACCTAACTGTTTTGTGAATTATTGTACCCATTAAGATGAATCTCTCTCTCTCTCTACCCCCTCCCTCTTTCCCTCTGCAGAGATTGAGACTAGCTCTGTCAATTGAGCCCAACTGCATAGGCTTTACCTGAAGATGGAGAGAGTCTAGTCTCCAAAACATTTGTTTTAAATGAAAATGGGACATGGATAATGTCCAGAAACGTAATGTTTGTACTCTGTTAATATTCACCAGATTGTCAAAATCTGTTCATCATTACGTTATTTCAGTCCTGCACATCCCGCTGCTGGTGCGCATTTAAATGTCAGTTCCTGTTAGGACGCTTACATTGTATTTAAAAATGCTGTATCTAATACAGTTTTTATGACGAATGGAATTAACTTTGTTTTTATCAGCAAAGAACATAGTGCTGCATGGTATAACGTAAGATTTGAAAATATTTAGACAAAGAAGTTATACTGTATTTTTAATTTTATGCATACTGTAAAAACCATTCCATCTGTATCAGTGACAGTTATTTATCCACATGCATGTTATAGAAGACCTCAGCTTCCATGATATGTGTACCTTTATTTTCTTTTGTTAAAAATTTCTCACTTAGTGTGCGGTGGTGTCCAGCTGGGTCCACTCAGCACGGTGGCCACTGATTGGCCTATTGTACCTGTCTCAGGTGATTATGATGATGGAGAATTGGTGGAATGAAGATTCGCAAGTGAAACTGAAGTACTCAGTGAAAACCTGCCCCAGTGCCACTTTGTCCACCACAAATCCCACTTGACCAGAACTGAGATAGAACCCTGGCTGCCGTACTGGGAAGCCAGCAACTAACTGCTTGAGCTATGGTGCAGCCTTATTTTTTTTTTTTTGTTACATTTGTGAGAAACCTGATGACTTCACATATTTTTCTTTTCTTTAACAGGTGGAACTTGAAATTATTCTTGCATTTGCTCACATCAATGATATCCTTGTCAATGTACATGAGAGCATCATTAAAGTGATGAACAAGAGATTCAACAAAAGCACAAAACATCTTGATCTCTCAAACTTCCACAGGGATCCAGGTATGACAATACAAATGTTCTGTTTACAGTAATGTCCTCTGTGTTACATATAAGTGCCCATCCTCCTGCAGTCCCTTGAGACCAGGAACTCAGTACATGTGCAGGGGACTGTTAATCTCTGTTAGCTGTGCATTTCATAATTGTAAGGAAGCATGTGTGTAGTCCAGTTGGCTTAGCTACATTTTTCCAGTACAAGTTGTTATTGTTATACATGTTTCCATTGTCTGCATTTTCATGCCTTGGGAGTTCTGTGCATCATGTCCTATCTGCAGTCACAGTAGAGTCTGCTGTTTGTTGCCGTGAGTTGCATGGACAGTTTCCCTGACATCCCACCATTTTAAGAATGTCATGTCATTTCCTATTCCTTCACTGTCTTTGTCTCTGCACGTTTAGTGATATCTGCTTTTATATGTTAATAATGTTTGGATCTGTCAAAGAATGGTTGGCAAAAGAGAAATGATCCTGGGAGTGAAAATAAGGAAGTGAAGAAGAGGGCTGACAAGAGTCTCATTCTTTGGAAGTGAAGTTGGAGGTACTTGATCAGTTTGATAGAGGCGAGCCTAGCATTGATAGGATTGAGTGATATTGTTTATGCAGTTTGTAAGAATGGCCAGTCTGTTCCTGTAGTTACAGAATCTTGATGTGGCAGATCAGACAAAATGGAAGGGATGTTTTTCACATGGATAAGTCGTCAGAACCAGCAAAGTATGCCTTTGTCTGGACCAGTCAGTCAGGAAGTGGCAAGGAGTGTCTAAGAAGGTCTGCTGACAGATACAAAGGAACAGATGCATTTTGCTTCAGATTGTGCTGGTTCAGTCACTCTAAGTGTCACCATGAATTCCACCCTCTCAGAATGGTTGGTGAGGCAGGAGCTGCAGAGCACTTAAAGAATTATCCGCTCTCTTCCAAGCAGTGATTATGGAATGAGTTTGCTCACTGAAGCAACTGTTTATCCGTGATGAAATGGTCCTATCCTGCAAGTATGTGCCAAGTGACACATTCATGTTCATCAAACAGATCACACCACCCAGGTTGAAAGCTGCCAAAGCCTGCTGCATGTTGCTCTTGGGAGGGAAACACTTCTAGGGACCACAAGTTAAGGCCTTTCATGGTATACCAGTGAGAAATGCATGGACACTGGGGAGATAAGCCTGTATGAAAACAATGTTGCCTTTTTTTTTTTAGGTGCAAGATATTTAATGATGCTATCAGGAGTCAAGACTGTAGTGTTGAATGGTAGGATGGTACATGAATGAGAATTGGAAAGAATTGGAAGGAAACAGTCATGGCATAATCAAGGTACAATACTGACATTTACCTGGGGGACTGAGGAAAACCATGACAACCTCAGTCAGAGTAACCGGTGCCTCAACAGATATTTTAACTGAATACAAGTCTATACCAGCGTTTCGGCCTGTTCAGTAAGTTTCCCATAATTAGGGCGAATAAGAGGCCCTGGATAGTGTCAGATGTTTTCAGTGAATGTTTGAATGGTAGGATGAATAGATGAATGATGATTTTGAAGGAAGCAGTAATGGCCTACTCAAGGTAGTATCCTGACATTTGCCCTGACGGATGGAGGAAAACCACGAAACGCCTCAGTCACAGTATAACCTTGTGCCCAAAGAGATTCAAACTGATCACATTCTGGAAGTGAGTCTAGAGCTTTGTCAACCCATTGGTAAGATTTTCTGTTTGGGGGTGAATAAGAGGGGCTGGATAATACCTGCTGTTTTCAGTGAATGTATGAGTGGTAGGATGGTAGATTGGAATGAAGCAGTCATGGCTGGATCAAGGTCCTGAAACTGACCTTTCCCATCCATCCCTCGATGTTCCTTAGCTTCACTAGAATGTTGCCACACATACTGCACTTTCTCTCTTTTTGGTTAGGCTGTAGCAGTAGAAGCATACATAATTAGGTTTAATTGTTCAGGAGTGGTGCCACCATAAGTCATGCTTGTGGAAGCAATGGAAGATAGTGGGGATGCAGATAAGGGAAACTAGCTGAGATGTAGTGTAAGGATGTTTGGGAATTCACACCAGAGCACAATGAGTTGATTTGCCTAGCAAATATGACAACTGCTACCCTTGAAGTTAATGACCAATTCAATGAAACCTTGCAGATAACCGTTGTGCTGGAGATCACTTCTCAGGCCGCTGATTTCTTTAACCAGGTCTTATCGTTCTTGGCATATGGTGGGAGCTCTATTGTGAAGACTCCAAATCAAACCTCTATTCACATGCGGCAGATGGTTAGGGTTGAAGTTAAGGTACCAGCCAGTGTGGGTGGGTTTCCTGTAGACTTTGGTGGCTAGTGTCGTCTCTTCCCTGCTGACCAGCGCATCAAGAAAGGAAATTGCACTATCTGGTTCTGTTTCCATGGTGAACTGGATGGATGGCCTTAAACTGTTGAGGTGGCTGAGGAAATCCTGTAACCGCTCTGGACCATGAGGCCAGACCACAAACGTGTCATCAACGTACTGGAGCCACAGTGGTGGTTTATGTTGTGCCGAGTCAAGAGCCAATTTCTCAAAATGCTCCATGAAGATGTTGCTCACAATGGGTGATAAGGAGCTTCCCATAGCCATGCCCTCTTTCTGCTGGAAGAACTTGTCGTCCACCTCAAAATATGTGGTTCTCTGACAAACCTCCAGCAGCTCCATGATGTCTTCTACCTAACACACACTTGGGAGTTCACTCATGAGAACAAGGCCAAAAAGAGATCTGTAACAGACAGCACAGTGCATCTACAGTATTCCCTGAGTGTGGAAGAAGCTATATTGGGGAAACAGGGAGACCTCTAGCCATGCAGCTCTGTGAACATAGGCACAATCTCCAGCAGGGTCTTGTAGAAAAATCAAAATTAACCCAACATTCCTCTGAAGAGGGTCACAGAGTAGGCTGGGATGATGCCAGGATTTTGGAAATTGAAAGTAATGGCAGGTATAGGAAATATAAGCATGCTTAACCAATGCAATCAGCCAACCCAGTTTGGACATTTCTCTTATCTGGATACCCCTCATCAGCAATGGGGTTCCTAACTCACAGAGAAGATCTGTATGAAGTGATAGACTCTTCATGCATTTCCACAAGGTTCCAGTCTCAAGTGTTCAGGTTTTACTCCCCAGATGGCACTAGTGGTAGATATGGGTGTTCACAATTTTTTGCCGTCGTCATCGTTCACAATTAGGATTATGGAACATGCGAGAAATGTGTGTATAATGCAAAGATTTGACATGTTGTTAAAATAAAATTGTGTATTGACCTAGTGTGTAAACAGTGCTGATGTAATATGTGACATAATGTTCAAATATGAGAGAGTATCTTGGATTATCCTTGGTTCTCAGCTAGTCATGTATCTTATTCCTTTCATTAGCTTCAGTAATGAGTACTTGAATGTAATGTCATTTAAGTTCCCATCATTGGAGCACATGCACGTACAGTAAAGGTAAAAGGCGTCATGCTCATTGAATGACAGATTGAGGAACTGATCTTTATTTATTACAGATTTACGTGATCTCGTATTCTGCCCACTATCACAGGCCACAATCTTCCATCATGTGTTGAATGCATTCAAATCGAATCTACCACCAGTGAAATCCCTCAACTTGTCTCACAATGACATATGTTCCCTCAAGTCTCTTGAAGCCATGTGGCAGCGGCAACAGCCACTTGTGAAAGTGGACCTCAGGCACAACATGGTAATTAGACTGCAAGATTGTACTTTCATTTATCATTTCATCTTCAGGCAACAAAAAACAGGTGCCAGAAATGAGATTTGAGGATCTTGCAGTGATGACTGTGAAGATACTGCCTTCGGGAATGTGATACTATTTTTTTTTATTACTTTTTGGGGTGGGACTGAGTCCACTTGGTACTGCAGCCACTTCTGGCCTATTGTACCACCTCAGATGATAGGTGAGGGTGATTGTGGAGCAATTGTTGGAATGAAGAATAGCCAGAGAAACCGAAGCACTCAGAGAAAACCTGCCCCAGTGCCACTTTGTCCACCACAAATCCCACTTGACCAGACCCGGGATCGAACCTGGGCTGCCGCGGTAGGAAGCCAGCAACTGACCGCTTGAGCTATGGCACGGCCAGGTGATACTATTAGTCGGGTAGACAGTTGCATTATGGAGGAACATGGTGCCTGTGTCTTCAGGATAGAAGAGTTAAACTATCGTAACTTGTACATGGAGGCAGCATTTTCCTTCAAAATGTCAAGCCCTAGAAGGTGATCGGATTTACTGAGCGCTTACGCAACTCATAACTGGAAGTAACTATAACGCCCTCACTGGTTTACACACTCTTAACTGCAGCACACATAAAGTCTTTATCTTCCATAGTTGTTTCCTGGTAACGGATCCTAACAGTGTCCTCTGTTTATATCATTAGTGGTTGGCGAATATCCCACAACTGACTAACTCTCAGGCTGGAGGCCATCTGACACCAAACTCCTAGTCCTCTCCACTGACTAACTGCAGCTCCCAGCTTGTCCTACTTATAACATCTCAGGATGGACTGCATAGGAAACACCACTCCTCCTCATAGTTCAGTGGCTTCAATGGGAACATGTTTGTTTGTGAAGGCTTTACTCACTGATGACTGTGGTATATTTGCTTATCTCAGGGTCATTGCCCAGCAACAGGTCTAGCTGCTGCAACATAAACAATGGGACTCTGGGAGACAGATTGTTAATTGATGGCATCATGAACTGAGGACCACTGTACATGTGGGGCTATTTCATTCAAGTTTGACACCCATTCCTGGTGGGACTCTCAGATAATCCTAGTTTGTTATTTGTAGCTCTCATGGCGACTAGGCAATGAAGTCTTCCCTGGTTGATCAGCCGTGTAATGTGGAATTTGATGATGTCCCCTTCATCAAGCACTGTTGCAATGTCCATTGTGTCTGCATGTATTTATACTGCAGCATGTACCACTGAGGGATCAGTCGGTGAAGTGAGAGAGCTGCTGGTGGCCTGTCCCAATACAGACCACTGACCACTGACTGGACATTTCTACCCACATTTCCTCCAGTTGCCCACAGTGGAACAAGGCCACACTGACTGCACAACTGCTCACTGGTACCCCCAGTGGTCTGCACTGGAACAGGACACTACTGACCCTCAGATTTTGCTCACTGTTCTTTCAGCGGGCATTCTCTGAAACAATGGATACCAGTTCCATATTGACAAGGGTGCCTGGGAAGATTTCATTGATCCTAGGTTATATAGGTGTCCTCTTAAGTGACAGTGACCAATGTCCATGGAGCAGAGTTCTTGGAAATCTAATAATTACTGTGCTACTGAACAAATTCCCCACTGTGCTTGAAACCCAGAGATTTAGTACCATGTTCACCACAAGCCTGCCTATGTGTTATGACTAATAAAGAAAATATTGTGACACTTTTATCCCTTAATTAACACAAACATGTGTTTGGAGGTAATTTTCTCTATGTTGTAGTGTCAGATGGTAGGCAGGGCTGCTGCATGTATGTATATGTGATAAAAACTATACTTTTAGAAATATTTTTAAGGTATATAGTACATATTTCTTAGAATTTGAGGGTATCTCAGCAGTGACAATGAAGTTTACTGTCTTCTGGGGTGTGAACTCGTATAATTTGTGTTTGGTAAGCAGTGTTTTGGAATAACATGTTGCCACCATCTTCACAGTACCTGCCTGGTCATATTTTGCCCATTTTTCACCCCAAAATGAACATACTTCTTAAAGAAATGATGAAGTTGTTTTGTGATGCATCAAGGACTCAGTGTTAGAGAATTGCCTGAGATACAGTCATCTAGTCTGTCCCTGAACGTCAGGATTCTTGAATGCTTCAGAGTTTGTACATTGTGGTATGTTCTTTCAGATAAAACATGTGAGAGACCTGGAAGTCTTACGACAGCTTCAAGTCACTGAACTCCTACTGGATCAGAACCCTCTCTGCCAGCATTTTGATAGCGAGTATTCATATACCAGGTAATCAGACTCGGTTATTTCGTTACACAAACACATTGTTACTGTGTGGGATTTGAGTTTCTTATGGCAGTGCCTGAAAAGTACTGTTTGCTGGGATATAGTGGCGTGTAGTCTGGTAGAAGTTCACTCTCTACGAGGTCAGAGAGTATGCCAAGCAAATAGCCAAGTCAGCAAGCAAATGGAATCATATGTCAGACTGAGGAGATAAGGCAAGAAAAGGAACTTGGGGTGGGGGGGGACCAGTGGAGGAAAGGGAAGCTATTGGTTCTGTGTAAGGTCTTCTACTAACCTTTATCCTAGGGCCATACCATACCTCAAGCGGTTAGTCGCTGGCTTCCCACTGTGGTGGCCCAGATTTGATCCTGGGTCTGTGCAAGTGGAATTTGTGGTGGATGAAGTGGAGCTGGGGTAGGTTTTCTCCGAGTACTTCGATTTCCCCTGCCAATCTTCATTCCACCAATTGTTCCACAATCACCCTCACCTATCATCTGGGGCTGGTACAATAGGCCAGAAGTGGCCACAGTACAAGGGACTTAGTTTCACCCCACTAGCAATAAAAAAAAAACTTTATCCTTGTTCCACCTGCTCCCAAATGCTGATCCATGTGGAGGCGGCGTCGAATACCTTCACCGTGACCCTGCAAGTCATAGGAGGCGATGGAAAGGGAAGTCTTGAATCTGAGACAGTAAAATATAGTCGCAAGTCCCAAGGGACTCGGACACAAGAAAGACTGCTCTGGCAGATCTGCAAAAAGCGTTGGTGAACAAAATTAATGTGGTTCAGGCCTGTATAAACTCTTGGTGGGCATCACTTCCAACACCTTTTATAAGTGCACAGTGACTTTCCAAACACACTGTATGCGATTCTTGTTGAAATAACTTTTTCGGAAGACAGAGCGTGACAGTGACATTTATTAATCTTTCAAAACACAATATTTTTAAGGTTTTAATTTATATTTTGATATAAGAATAATATTATGAAAATATATTGGGATGCTAGGAGGCGAATATAATTCCTTCAAGTGCCTGAGCATTAGATATATTTTGACATGTTATAAATATGGGTGTAAATTTTGTGTGAAATGTTTGTTACTTGGTTTGCTGTGCTGTGGTGAGTTTAAAACGAACATTCTGTAAGAAGTGCACGGATTCATGTTTCAGAAGCTTCATGCTATTCTGCCTCCTGAGCAGTTCAGTGTAGATCATGAAGTTTTGTGCAAAAAGGGAGTTAGTTAAAGGAGTGACATTTTGCATCTGCAAGCCCTGATCTTTTAAACCCCTCAAATGCACCTCATGAATACTAGTTTTGAAATAGAAGATGATTAAGAATTAACATCTATGTTCTTTTTTGTTCCAGTGCAGTCAGGGGAGTCTTACCATCACTTGTGAAACTAGTAAGTGGCTGAAATATCATTACAACTTAACCTTACTAAATTTAATCCCTGGATAATGAAACCCTCATGTTGCCTGGATCTTGCACTAGTGTCTAGCCTCTAGTCTTCTCGAATTCAGCTTAGCTCTCAAAAGCATGCTGATTGACTGCCGACTCACATCTCCTTTGCTGCTGCTACTACTGCTGCTCTGCATTTGCTTGGTGTACTGGATAGGGGACACCGAGCTGAACAATTGAGCTATCCGTTGTCAAGAAAACAACACCTGCAGTATGCAAGAAACGTTTGTCTGTGTTGCTGTGAGAACGGTGCTTATTGAGCCATTGGCTGCCAATGGATGTCTGGTTTTTGCTCATATTCCAGCTTTCAGGCCATTTGCTGAGCATTGCTCAACAACCGAGTGTTTCGGCTGGTCGTCCCAGATACATGTATCAACAAGCCGTTATCTATGCAATGGATTCACATGTCACAGTACCGAAGAACTGAAACACTGCGTACTAGCGAGCCTCTAAATAAATCAGTGTGTGAAGTCTATTCATAGACTTCAAGAAAGCCTATGATTCAGTTAAGAGGGAAGTATTGAACAATATTCTGATAAGAGTTTAGGATACCCATGAAACTACTTAGACCGATTAAAATGTGTTTGAATGAAACGGATAGTAAAGTCCATGTAAGTAAACATCTGTCTGATAAATTTCCTATCCAGAATGGTCTAAAACAAGGAGATGCTTTATCGCCACTTCTTTTCAACTTTGCTTTAGAATATGCCATTAGGAAGGTCCAGGGAAACCAGGTGGGACTGAAATTAAATGGGTCACATCAGCTGTTGGTCTATGCTGATGATGTGAATCTACTGGGTGATAATGTAGATACCTTAAAGAAAAACACACGAACTTTAATTGACGCAGGTAAAGAGGTCATTCTAGAAGTGAACACTGAGAAAACTAAGTATATGTTGCTGTCTCGTTGCCAGAATGCAGGGCAAAATCATGACATAAAGATAGGAAACAGATGTTTTGAAAATGTGGCACAGTTCAGATATTTGGGAACAACAATAACAAATCAAAACCTGATTCAGGAGGAAATTAAGAGGAGATTGAACTCGGGTAATGCTTGCTACCATTCAGTCCAGAACCATTTGTCTTCTCATCTGCTGTCCAAAAACATAAAAATTAGAATATACAAAACTATAATTGTGCCTGTGGTTTTGTATGGGTGTGAAACTTGTCTCTGACATTAATGGAGGGAGATAGACTGAGGGTGTTTGAGAATATTTGGACCAAAGAGGGATGAAGTGACTGGAGGTTGGAGAAAACTGCATAATGAGGAGCTTCATAACGTGTACTCTTCTCCAAGTATAATTAGAATGATCAAGTCAAGGAGGATGAGGTGGGCAGGGCATGTAGCACGAATGGGGGAGACGAACCCGTATAGGTTATTGGTGGGAAAGCGAGAAGGAAAGAGACCACTGGGAAGACCAAAGCATAGGTGGGTGGACAGTATTGAAATAGATCTTATAGAGATAGGATGGGATGATGTGGCGTGGATTTGATTGATCTGGCTCAGGATAGGGACCAGTGGAGGGCTTGTGTGAACATGGTAATGAACCTTCGGGTTCCATAAAATGCTGGGAAATTCTTGAGTAGCAACAGAATTGGCCGCTCCTCCAGAAGGGCTCAGCTCCATGATTAAGGTAAGTGAAGCTCGACTGAAAACAAGGCAGCCTCTGCTAGCTGTAGAATCCGGCACAGCATCGCAGACGCTGTCTGGCACCTGATGCTAGATCACTGGACATGTCAGACTAGCGCATTGCTGGATTACTGAGTTTGTGCTGTAATGTTTCATATCCAACATTTGCTTCAAGTGACTGAACAAGTGAAAATCACTTGGAACCAGGTACGGACTGTAGGGAGGTTGGAAAAAAGCATCTCAGCCAAAGTCCAAGTGCAAATGGAAATGCTATGCACAAACGCTCTTTATCTTCTGGCGGACCGTCCTATTTAGGCATTGTACATTTTATTTTATAGAATATGTGTTTATACATTACGTACCAGTAATTTTATTCTAGATAGTATTCATGTATCTTCTTCCTCCGGTATTCTTATGTTTATGTGGGCCGTTTATCAGCGAAGCTTCCTTGTCTTTGTCTTTTCAGAGCTGCTACTCCTCTGTTTCCTTCCATATTTCTTCTTCCACCTGACGTCTTTCATGACTTATTGTTCCCATCTTAATCTTGGTGTACCCCTTGTTCATTTACCTTTTATTTTCATATTAAAGACCTTCCTTGGCATTCTCCCCTCTTTCATGTTGTAAATGTGCCAATATCATCTAATTCTGTCATTTACGAATTTATGTTCCAGTGTATTTGTCTTTAAATTCTCTCTCTCCTGGGTTTTTCTTACCATGTTCCTACAAACCTTGCCTCAGCTGCTGTTGTTGCTGCTCCATATGTTAAAACAGGCTTGTATTAATTTTCAAACTTGTTTTCTTTCTCTTTGGCTTCCCTTTCCAAAGTATATCCGTAACTAACTGGTAAAATGTTCCTGCATTGTTTATTCTTTCCGCAATTTCATCTTGTACTCCCGTTTTTCACATATTATGTTACTCAAAAAATAAAGGTAAGGAAAATTGATTTGTTATCTCAGTGGAAAGTTAGAAGAAATGTCGACCAGACTCGGGTACCCTTGATGTCATGCTGTTGTGGCTTCACTGCTCAGAATCTATTTAACCTGTGAGCAAGACAACCAGAGTTCGATTCCAGGCAGGGACAAGAGATTATTCTCTTCTCCATAGTGTCTAGATTGGCTCTAGTGCCCACCAAGCCTCCTGATCAGTGGGTACCGGGGCTCTATCCCTGGTGGGGATAAAGCCAGGATGTGGAGCTCACCACTCGCCTCCACTAGTGCCAAGGTCAAGAATGGTGGAGGTATACCTCCACTCCAACATATTCTTTCATGACACAGTGTTTAATTATGTAATTAATTACAGGGGTAGCTTTACCTTTTTTTAATATGTGTGATGTGACTTTAAATTGAAAAAAGAACATATGCTTACACTACAATTACTGTAACTTCACAGTTTTAATCAGTTCTGTCATCTAGGAAGTGACTGTGTTTAGTCTGGTAGATTTTACCAATGTTTCAGAGGAACCTGGGGCCTCCGTAGTCAGTTTAGAAGAGTCAGACATTAGGGAAATGTGGTTAGTGATGAGGGGAATGCTGATGTGGACTGTAACAAAGAGCAGACCAGTGGGATCATGTGGATGTTTCTGGTGGGAGGAGGCCAAAACTTGTGCGCAGGAAGAGAAGTGAAAGATAAAATGTAAATGAACTTGAGTAAACATCTCGCAGGCTATGTGCTATCCCATGCTGTCAGAGAGACACCTCCCTCAGAACCACAGGTCTCGCATTTTCCGCATTGTTTTAGGCAAGTTCTGTAGAGAATGTGATTTATGTTACTTTTAGAATTACAAAGGTGCTTTGTTTATTAACATTTCTTGTTTTTCAGTTTCACAACATGATCAGACAGAAGTGTAAATATAGACAACTAACTCACAAAAATTATATTTGCAATAAGTTAATTCATGGAACCCAGTGTGTCTATGAATGTTTTATACCAATTCTGCGAAATAACAATAACAAAGTATATTATTTTTTTAACTGAAATAAATATACTTTTGGAAGTGAAGTTCTTCATATTTGGAGATTATGATAACTGTTGAGCATCAGAGTACAGAGAATGTGTTTGTGTCCCTGCAGGATGGTGTAGTGCTGGGCCCACCTAATGTCCCTCGCATTAAACGCAACTTTGTGAGACCTCTTGAAGATACGACCTTGGCAGATCAGTTTGTCAGACACTTCTTCACCCTGTATGATGGTGACAATCGAATGAAATTGGGAGGAATGTATCATGGTGATGCATTGTTCTCATTATCTTCCACATATCTACCTGCACAGAGCACATCAAGCACAGCCAGGTCAGTTGTGAGATAAATGTTGCTTCCCGGTGAACTCCTCGAGAACCAAGACACCCCTTGTGAAGTGAAAATATCTTTGTTGTATACCTGTTCTTTCCTAAATACTGACTTGGCTAGGCCCACACGTTTAGAACTTCACATAGTGTTTCACAAATAATCCCGGGTGTTTAAAAAATGAAGCTAATGTACCTGTGCAGTTAGACTACAATAAATATTATTTTTAAAAGAAACAAAGCAGGATTTTTATTGTTGTATTTCTTAGACTAACATTGGAACACAAAAATTTCATCCCTATACTTTTTTTATGAAATTCATGAAGCACTTCCATTACCCAGAAGAGGTTTGCAAACCACAGTTGTAAATCACTGTTTGAAATAGTTTTATGTTTACACAGCAGTTACTTAGCAGTAAAATAAAACAGTCTGCAATGTCAGGATTAAATTTATTGTGGTTACACTATAGCCCCTATTGCTGTAAGCTGTTTCATAGCAGTGATGATTCAAGTTGTGAGATAGATGCTGGCCAGTGAGGACAGGAGCCATTGAAGGCAGAAACTGCGAATCTGCAGAGGTGGGAGCTGCTAGCCAGGAAGGACGGAAGCCGCTGATGTACACAGAATCTGCAGAAGTGGGAGCTGCTAGCCAGGAAGGACAGAAGTCGCTGATATACACAGAATCTGCAGAGGTGGGAGCTGCTAGCCAGGAAGGACAGAAGCCGCTGATGTACACAGAATCTGCAGAAGTGGGAGCTGCTAGNGATGCAGAATCTGAAGAAGTGGGAGCTGCTGATGTACACAGAAGCTGAGGAGCCATTGTGAGGCAGCGCCTAGTGAAGATCGAGTAGACATAGTGTGCACTACAGTGATTAGCAGAGTGTGGGAACTAGTAAAACTGTGACCATATAATTTGAAAATGGGTCTTGCAGTAGTAGCTGTGAGGGATTGGAGTGGATTCGTCTGTCCTCAGGTTGTTCTTGGCTGACCTACTGTTAGTTTCTCAAGAAGCACTCTGTTCCATGGCATTAGTTACTTGATCATTCAGATTGGAGCAATATCATCCCACATTTCCTATAATCAGTGTTCTGTATCAGAGAATTATTTTCCGTGGACGTGTCTTTTCTGAATAAATCAAATGCGTGATTTTTGGGTCTCAAGTGTTTGCTCTGTTAGGCTTGTAACATAATCCTCGTCTCTGAGCACTGGAAGGAAATTGCTTGATTCTCATGGATGCTTCCATTGCCTTTCCGTACTAATAAACTACTATTTGTCTTTTATGACAAATGATAATGATTATTTCTATTGAAGAAATCCACAGGATGGGTACACCTTCCTTTAACCTGAAGAGAGACAGGACCACTCTCTGAAATGGTACTCATACTGCCCATAATAGATTCTGGCATTAACAGTCAACAGTTATTATGAGCCATCAGAGCCATGTGAGATTTGAATTTCTTATGGTGGATAGTGTGAAGATTACTGTCTTCTGGGACACGCTGTATAGTCTGGTAGATCGGTGCTGACATTTTGGATCACACTGTTCCATCTTCAGACTGATAGAGTTTGCTTATACCTTGAAGATGGAAGTGATATATTCTTTTGGAACACTGTTAATGATCTACCAGATAATATGGCATCATATCCAAGGAGACAGTGATCTTCCTTTGAACCATATGTTCTCTTTGTCAGTTTTCAGAAGTTTGGGGGTGATATGCACACACTTGTATGAATTCTTGATGTTGCTCATTGTTTCTACGTTTAAATGAGATTTGATGACCTCTTTTGCAGGTTGACAGAGTATACGATTGAGAGCCGTAATCTTCTTAAGCTCTCTGACTACTCCAAGGGCTTCAAGTTATTGCGTCATGGAGCAGATGCAATCTTACCAACAATCTGCAAGCTTCCTAGATCAGAACACGATCCATATTCCTTTACAGTAGACCTTATTCATTCTGTAAGTTATCTGTACTCTTTGCTGGGTGCATAATATAACAGCCAATCATGCAGATTTCTTTGGACTATATTGCTAGCATATTAACATGTCCTTTTTGAAGTATGCTGCCTTAAATAATGCACCAAATTCCTCCTGGTTCATTATAACATAATGGGCTGTAATGCACTGGATGTGAAATGTACATTGTCTTCTCTTCAGGTAACAAGTTTGTTGGCTCGCTTTTAGAAATAACAGCTGCAAACATAAGAACCATCCATGCTTAAGGATTTAAGGATTTCATAACTATTCTCCTGAAGGCAAATATGAACCCTTCACCACTGCAGGACATTTAATTCCTACTCATTCCTTTGGATGGAGGATGTTTAAGCATTTAAAGCAGAGAATACAACATTTACTTCAAGTGTAATAAATTGGGTAAAGCTGGAGGTTTGCTTTTCAGATTTTCAAACTATGTTCAGAAAAGTATATAGAACCATAGTATTGGTCCACACTACTTCAGAATTATTTTTGGCACAATAAGCTTATAAAAAATATGAATAATATATTACCTTAGAAATTCAGCTGGGTGTGGTAGTCGCAAAAATACTTGATGCAGAGTCCCACGCCACATGTCACACCAGTACACAGGACCCTTCCTCATCCCGCACTTCTGACACACAACAGAGCATCTCTGTAGCCTTGATTTCTTCGCAGTTGGAGGAATCTTGCGTATAAAATATCTTTCTGTTACGTGGGGCACTGTGTTATCTGACAAATGTTGACCTGGCACCTTGACTTGTACAGCTTTAGCATATTTCACAAAAAATCCCTCAATTAACTGAATTCAAAATGGCAATTGCTCTATTCTCTTCCTTATGTTACTCCTGTATACATCATTATATTATCATTGCATTCAAAATTGAGGTGATCAAGAGCCCTACAAAATAGTTTCATGTACCATATATTCATTCACTTCCTCTCAATCAAATAAGAGTGAAGCAGCTGGTTCTTCAAATCGACCCCGAATCATCGATTTCTTGTAATCTAAAACCAAAATGTGTTTGACCCCTTCCTTGCCTCCAATTGTAATGGTCCTGGTGTCATGGTTGATAGGTGGAGATTGTACTCATAACTTTTTGTTGCTCCATTTTGTGACAGAAACAGGTTCAGATTACTGTGCTACAACTTCACCTTTTTCAGTTTTGTGTTTTTCATTTTTGGAGGCACATTCTTACAGTTCAACATGAGATTCCCAACACAGTCTGTCTTCTGTATGAGTTTCAATGGCTTGACTAGAGACGGTGAATTATAGAAATTATCCATCTACAGTCTGGCCTTCTTTCAGCAGAGGTTCTCCCAGTTTCAGAACAGTGGCTGTTATTTTACTGGTGTCAGCTTTGATCAAGGGGGGGGGTCAAGTTTTGTATCCTTCCCTGTATGTTCAGGGAAGGACCATAAATACCCTGTGGTGGCATGAAGCAGCTCATAAGTTTTGATTCAAAATTTGGATGCCATCCATTGCTGTCTGTCCACTTGTAACAACTTGAGATTGTCTTTAAATCTGATATTGGGTAGTTTCAGTAGCAGATGTTGATCCATTCCAGTCTGAATTAAAATGAGACAGCATAAATATATCTTTGAAAGGGTACCTACATGCCACATTTTATGTCCAGTAAGTCTTTAGGTAAGGCTGTGCCATAGCTCAAGCGGTTAGTCACTGGTTTCCCACCGCAGCGGCCCAGGTTCAATCCCAGTTCTGGTCAAGTGGGATTTGTGGTGGACAAAGTGGCGCTGGGGCAGGTTTTCTCCCCGAGTACTTCAGTTTCCCCTGCCAATCTTCATTCCACCAATTGCTCCACAATCACCCTCACGTATCATCTGGGGCTGGTACAATAGGCCAGAAGTGGCCGCAGTACAAGGGACTTAGTCCCACCCCACTAGCATTAAAAAAAATGTTTTTAGGTAAGTCTTATGGTTTGAGAGACAGCTGATCAAAAGAACCAAATGCACCAGAATTGTTATTACTATAGGATTCTGACGATGGTGTATAACACACTGATATATTGGGTCTCTGGACTTTATCCATCGTCCTGGTTTTTAAGATAACAAATAAAAACACTACGTTTCGGAAACTGGGTCTGTTTCCGTCCTNGTATTACATAAATTGTTCAGGATGTTCATTTGAGAACTTCTTCTAATGACAGCATTGTATGCATATGCCATCTGTCATATACCCCCACTTTTTTCTCTTTGGACTTAGGCACACTGTACAAAATTAGTTTTGGTTTTTGGTGATGCAGCTGTCGCAGCCATTCTACTGTATTATAACACTAAAAGATATAGGTTATGACCATTATTCTGTTTTCAGAGAAACATGCACATCTCCCTCAGATCTGTTTTGTTTCAGGCATCTAGCATTGTCATATCAGTGACGGGGGTGTTTCGGGAACCTACAATAATGAAGTCTCCACTTATTCGCTCTTTCTGTCGAGTGTTTGTGCTGGTTCAGATAGGTCCTCGTGATTACCAAATAGCGAATGAAACCATGCATGTTAAAAATGCTACTACAGAAGAGGCTGAGGTGGGTAAATGGTATGATGGTTACACATTTGTTACTGCAGTGTTTGCGGCAGTAGAGCTGGATGTCCAGTAAATATGTTAAGACAATTTTTCAGATGCATTATACAATGCAGCCTCAATTTTACACTTTTTAAGGATCTGGCTCACATACGTGTAAAATCGAGGAAAGAGTAAAATCAGGGAAATCAGAATGACAAAACAAAGAAGAATTCTGTTTTCTTTATACCAGAACTTTGTCCAATCATTTAGAAAATGCATGTTTGAACACTTAACAATGTAAATATAGATGCAGATATGATTCTTGGTTTATTTTATGGTGCTTTATCAAATGCCACTGTTATGTAGCTTCAGTAAGATGAGATGGTGATTACAACTGATGAATGGAAAGGATGTGGAAGGAAGAGGACATAGTTTGTTTCAAGGTACTATCCCAACATCTGCCTGGATAGACTGACAAATATGGTACATACATAGTTACACAATTTCTTCAGCCATTCAGTAAGAGTTTCAGTTTCATTGCACATCACAATATTATTGTCGGTATCAAACTGAGGCACATTCTGTCTGGCTGCTTCCTCTTCTTCTGGCCTTGTAAAATGTTGATCTGACACCCTGGATTCCAAAAACCTTGAGAGCACTGTCGCATGTTATGTAGTCCTCAGACAGCACTCCAAGAGGCTGTGAAAACTGCGCAAATCATCTTCATCTTCACCCTGAGTTTCACAGCACTGCTGCTGACATGATCAGGCAAGAAACCACGCTTCACAAAGCAGTTCTTGAGTGCAGCGGGTTTATCGTCTCCAGGCTTCTGCTGTGAAGTGCACTGGAGACAATGCATCCAGCTTCATGTGTGTTAGCATCTTGGAACAGTTCCTGTCTATCATGGCTATTTTCATCTGAATCAACTGCTTTCTTTAATGGAACCTCAATGCATGGATATTGGCAAATCTAAAGGTTTCAGCTGGCTGATACAGTTAGCTGGGAGAAATACAACTTTGATGTTGTTGAGAAACAAGTGCTCTTTGAGTGGGCACAACACTGATCAATGAAAAACAAGATTTTGCAGTTTTTAGCACATAGTTTTCTATCTAGTTGTGTGATGTAATCTGGTGGTCGTCCAATAATTTGTATTAGCTTCAAGTTTTATAGACAGTCTCTTGCTATTTTTGAAGCAATGTGGACTTTTATATTTTGCAGTTACAAGAGGCAGCAGGTTATCAGTGCCATCATTGCATGTGAGGAGTACATTAACCTGCTCTTTAGATTATATACCACAATGCCAAAAATCACCTTGAAAAATGAAGGGTCAGCTAGGTTGTAGATTGAAAAATAGATTGGTCTCATCAGCATTATGTACATCTCATGGGTTTCTTCGGTTTCTTGCAAAAGTTTGTAATTCTCCAGTCCTCTACAATCCTCCTCTCACCTCATATCACTCTGTAAACGGTGTTGTATCTCCTCTTAAATCTATCGATGTATCCATTGGAAGCTGAAAAGTTGGCTGTTTCCAGACAAGCACCAATGAGTCTGGCCTTCTCCCTGAGGTGGTTGCCATCTGTGGAGGCATTGCTTTTACGTGATTGCACTGTAATTGGTTTCTGTTTTCCTTTAAATATCCATATATTATATATAGTATCCATTATTATTCTTTCTATGAAATTCATCAACAATAAAGTTTAGTCTCTGTGAAGTGAAGTCACATGGGCACTTAAATAAAGATCATGGAACTTAACCTGGGTGCATTTCTGTTGAATGTTTGTCACACAGAAATACACCCGTTGTGTTGCAGTGGTGAGCGCGTTGCTTATACTTCATTGGCATAAAAATCCTCTGATGCAGGATATGCCTTAGTGAAGTCACATGGCGCATGCCAGTCACTTCCAGCCAAGTGGCAGTATTTATTTTTAGACTGAACCATTTGCCATTGCTAACTGGGAAGGAAGTCCATTGCCTCAAATAAGAAATTCTGAGAACTGTACTACAAAACAAAATCCAGTAAATTTCTGTAGTCAGGACCAGAAAATTGAAGTGCAAATTGAAGGACAATGTAAAGTTGCCAAACCTTAAAATCCATTAAAGTTTAAAGTTACTGATGTAGGCATTTCACCAAGACCATGCAAGAAGCGCATAAGTCCACAGAAAAAAAAAACCATAAAATTCGGGATCATAAAATGAAAGATTCACTTTATTTGTATACGTCTTCCAATAGGGATTATTTCAGTGTTTTTGTGTATTTTGTTGCTTTGAATTTGAAAGGAAATTCTTGTAATGTTTCCTTATCTTGCATTCAGACTTCACATATGAAAACACTGCATGTGGCAAGCTCATTGTGTAGGTACTGCAGGATGCAAGACAATACTAGTAAGTGCAGATACAGCTGTGAATTTTGCTGCCATTCAACTGAAGTCTCCCCTTCACCCCTGCCTCCTTCAACATTCTTCCCTTGGTACTGAGGCAAGGCAGTAGCAGGTTGCTGCTACTGCACATTCCAAAACTTACTGTGACTTCATTACTTCTTCTGAGAAACGCTATAACAGGCAGATAACTTCTCTATATGTGGGAGGAATTTTCTGTGATTTAGCGAAGGCTTTTGATTGTGTAAATCATGAAATTTTGTTAAGTAAACTACAATTCTATGGCATTCGAGGAACAGTGTTAAAATGGTTCAAATCCTATCTAACAAATAGAAAACAAAAGGTTAAAATAAGATCGCCTAAACACAGTCAGAATTTCTTCTCAGACTGGAGAACAATAAAACATGGAGTTCCCCAAGGATCCATCCTGGGACCCTTGCTTTTCATAATATATATAAATGACCTTCCACCAATAATAAATATCTCATCAGAACCCATAATATTTGCTGATGATACAAGTGTCATAATTTCTAGTAAAAATTTTGATGATTTCTGTGCAATGTCTAACAGAGCACTCTCTCACATGAATAAATGGTTCAATGCAAACAGACTTGCCCTAAATCTTGATAAAACGAAAGTAATGAAATTTACAACAAAAAATATTCCTCAGTATGTTTTAAATATTGGATATAATGGAAAATATATAGAAGAGTCAGTAAATATGAAATTCCTTGGCTTGCAAATTGATAGCCACCTAAGTTGGTCAGACCATATAGATAAGTTGATTCCTAAGCTAAGTGGAGCATGCTATGCGGTTAGGTGTATGTCTCATGTCAACAATACTGAGACTCTCAAATCAATTTATTTTGCCTATTTTCACTCTGTAAATAAGTATGGTATAATCTTTTGGGGCAACTCATCTTACAGTAAAAAGATATTCATCTTACAAAAGAAAATTGTTAGATTAATGGCTGCTGTTAAACCAAGAGACTCGTGTAAAAATCTTTTTAAGAGGCTAGAAATCCTAACTACCATGTGAATACATATTCTCCCTAATGATCTTCATTGCAAAAAACCAAGAATTCTTTCCAACTAATTCTACTATTCACACTGTCAACACAAGGAATAAAAATCAGCTTCATAGACCAATTGCCAGCCTCCAATGTTTCCAGAAGAGTGCATATTATGCTGGCATTAAAATCTTCAACAGTTTACCATCAAATATTATAGCTCTTATAGATAAAGAGGCACAATTTAAAGCAGTGCTAAAGAGATACTTAATTACACACTTCTTTTACTCTGTTGAGGAATTTATGCTTTCGAATAACCCAAAGTGTATGTAATGTATGGAGTTTATTGACACTTCACTACTTTTGTGAACCTTTTACTACTATTGTGACGTGTTTTCATTGGTAAATTTTTTTTGTAATAGTTTGATTTGTTCGTGTATATGTATTGTATGATTTTTTGACTAATTCCACATCCTATGGTCTTCCTGACTAACATAAGGATCTATGGAATGCTATATATATGTAGGTATGTATGTATACAATTCCGTGCAGTGGGATTAACATATAGTTCTGAAGGATCAAACTGGAAAACATTTAGACGAGGTTTTATTAGGTTCCCAGCTGAAAGTGTCTCCAAGTGATTCCTGCGATTCCTTTGCCATTGCCTTCCCTATAACAGATAGGCAAGAATGGCTAAACTCGTTTCATTTCAATACTCGAAAATCGAATATCACTTTAATTGCACGTTATAAAGAAAGAAGGTAGTCCATGACAGATGACCTAAAACAAAGCAAATGTAAGAGTGTTTGCATTCTAGCCAGAGCAGTGTTAGATAATGTTCAGAATTGTGTACACAGGTATTCTTCAAATTTATGCTATCAGTGTGTTCCAGAAGTGCATTGCAGATGGTGAAATCGCATAAATTGAGCATGATTTTCCCCTCACTGGTCTTTATAACCACTTTGCATGGACCACACAGAAAACACAGCCTCTCTATTGTTGGGAAGGTGTGTTTATAGTGCTGTTGCATAGCAACAGAAGTTATTCAGATCTGTTTTTACTGCTGCATGAATAGGCGTAACATTCACTTTTTTTTTTTGTAGGTGGCATTCAAGATACCAAAACCTTCTGTTGGACCAAAAGTGGCTCCAGGCAAAGGACAGAAGTTGAGTGCATCTGATAAAGAACAGATGACTAAAGTTCTGAGTCATCTGACTGAGATGAATGTTAAATGGTCAAGAAAGTAAGTACTCTGTCTTATGTGTTCAGCTTGGAGTGTTCTCTTGTAACAGTATAGTATATTGACTGTCATCATCACCATCAGGTGTCTACCTTTCCATCTGTTTTCTTCCTCTGCAAGAGAGGGTGGTCCTTCCAGTGCAATTTGGGTCATCCAATGGAATCCTGTTCTTCAGAGGTGTCCCAGTAAATAAAATAGTTCGCCGGCCACTTTATCACAGTAGCGTAGTTGATTGAGGCACTGTGCTACAAGGTGGATGGTCACAAGTTCAGTTCCTAATGAGGTCATTTGGTTTTTCTCCACCAAACCTCCTGTCCAGTGGGTACTGGAGGCTATATTTCTGGGGGTAGAGCGGTCGGGGGCGTGAAGCTGACCACTCACCTCCAGCTAGTGATGATGTCAAGAAAATGTGGATCTATACTTCCACTCCCCAATACGCCTTCATGGCGTAGTGCTTAGTTAAGCACAGGGATAACTTTACCTTTACTAATCCTTTCAGGGTCACGCAGTAGCATAGTTGGTTAATGCACTTTGCTAAGCCAGAAGGTCGTGGGTTTGATTCCGGGTGAGGTCATTGCATTTTTCAATAATTCTAATCCTTCAAGCTGCACTATGGCCCTGGGATTGGCAGCCTCAATGCCATCTGTGAGCTGATTGTTTAGAAAATGTGGGAGTCATGATGTCTCACAACCGTATGGTCATCAGTGACGTGTTACAGGGATAGTGTTACCTTTTCACGAGGTGAAGGAATATGGATCCTGGTTAAGATCTTTCGAAACAGTATAAGCACCTGAGTTGAAATTGTCACGGAAGAACGGCTACATTCAATGTTTTCTTTTCCTAATATTGTATTTTAGCATCCTGTTGCCTTAATATATCATTTATTTCACGTATATTTCCGTGTTAAATTCAACTTATATCTAGTCACCCTTCAAACTACATGTTTCAGCCATATACGGCCACCTTCAGATGTCTTCTTGCTTGCTAAAATTGTTACACTTATGTCAACATTTTGTATTGTGTGTGAAAGCAGTATTTGCTAATTAAACTAAATTGATCTTAATTAAAATCAATAAAATTAATTAAAGTCACAGGATTTTCCATATGGTCATCGTCCTCTCTTCTCACGCCATCTCATCCGGTCTCAACTACTGCCATATTGTGGCAGGATCAGTAAAAGAATGCATATAGGTTACTGGTGGGAAAACGAGAAGGAAAGAGACCACTGGGAAGACCAAAGCCTAGGTGGGTGGACAATATTGAAATAGATCTTAGAGAGATAGGATGAGATGGTGTGGATTAGATTGATCTGGCTCAGGATAGGGACCAGTGGAGGGCTCTTATGAACACGGTAATGAACCTTCGGGTTCCATAAAATGCTGGAAAATTCTTGAGTAGCAACGGAATTGGCAGCTCCTCCAGAAGGGCTCAGCTCCATGAGTAAGCAAGTAAGTAAATTTAATGGAAATCCATCCAGCAGTTTTCAGGTTATTTCATGCTTACAGATGCACTGCAGGGTTGTGAATATGCACGGACAGTATCAGTATCACCAAATTTGAATTTGTTTCATTTCAGGTGCCTGGAAGAATCAAAATGGAATGTCAAGAAAGCCCTCACTATGTTCACAGAACTGTACAAAATAAGTAAGATCCCTCCAGAAGCATTTTCCACCATGTGAGCAAAACTTTCACCTTACTGGTGTTGCCGTGTGATACAGAAACTGTTGTTCCCAAAGTTACATGTGTTATCTTCACAAAGAGAACAAGGACACCAAGGAACTTGGTTGCAGTAGTGCCAGTGTCTTGTGTCTGCGAGGTGTGCAAGCATCCAGCCACTGACTGTCCTAATTGCAGTTGTATCATCCTACCATCTGATGCTGTATATAGTCTGAGATACTGACGGTGTCATTAATCTACTTTCCTTGTATAAACTAGGAAATATATGTATGGCATAACAACTCTGTTGCATTCACTGTGGTATTACCTTTAGATTTCCTCATTATGAAATATAACTGTTATAAATAGTGTAAAACAGGCAGGGTGGAGAAGCAGTGACCTCTAGTGTAAAATTTAATTAAAATCAGTCCATAAAAGTTCATTGTCATTTATCTAAAAAAGACTGTAAAAGTAAATAAGATCCAAAAGTTTGTAACGATGGTACTTTAATACAAATATTATGTTTCTGCTCATTATTCACCATCCAACTGAGCAGCTTTTACCTGAAGATGGAGACAGTTCGCTGTTTGAAACACTGTGTTTTGAATACAAACAGGGTGATGGGTAATGTCCAGAAATATAATATTTATGTATAAAAGCATATTGCATGTAGACTGTGTTTCATTTTTGTCTACACGTTTTGTTTGAAACATTTTATTCATACAAGTTAATCTCAAGATGCACACAAACCTGAGTGCAGGTCAGTGTATGAAGTGGCCATTATTGTTGTTGAGTTTTAACCAAAATTAGAATAGGTCAGCATGTTTGGGTGGAACTATCTAATATAAAATTTTGTGAAAAGATGTTTGACAGTTCTTAAGTTGTTGTCTATCAACAGAAGGATCAGTGAAGCATGGTGACGCAGATAAGACACCATTCTGCGACATTCATTGAAAGTGGCACTGCATTTGTTCAACCAGCATAACAAATGACCACTTTACCATCTTTGATCCTGGTTGGTTTGTCACATATTTAGGGGTGTCTGACTATAAACAGGGTATGGATTGGATGTCAGATTTATTGACCACTTTATTCACCACTGGGAGCTACACTTTACAGTTCACTGACACACACAGACTAGTGTCCAGTCTATTACAGTCTCCTCCAGCTGTTTCCTGGCAACAGCTTCTACAGAGGGAGATTCCTTCAACCTTACGCACTCAGGTCCTCTTGTCACAGTCGCTCGTGCAGAACTCTTGTTAACTGACGACTCGACTGACTGGGTCTCAGGCTGGCGGCCATTTCACAGCAACGTCCTAGTCTTCTCTGCACAGCCTGACTTTGAACTGGCGACTGAACTCTCACACACCAACCATGAGGCTGGGTGGGTGAAAAGTGAAAATTATGAAGCTCCTTATTATGCGGTTTTTTAAACCTCCTGTTATTTCCACCCTCTTAGTCACTTCATCTTGGTGGGTGTCATGTTCAAATTTTAGTCTTTGTGTGGAAAGTTACAGTTATGTCCTGGGACACCCTCACTCACGAGGGGACAGGTTTGTCTCTTGTCAGAAGCCATGATCAGTTATAATTTTCATAATACAGAGAGATTTTTTTTAGCTTTCATGACTGCTTCACAGCAACTGGCAAACTGCCGACTGCAAGACACGCAGTTTGATGATCGATCAGTATGTCTGACAGCTGACTGTGGTCCTCCAGATTGGGGGTTGGGCATGGGGCTAACAACTGCTCACCATAAAAAATAAGCTTGTTATGAAAGTGTTTAAGAAGCTCTGCACCTGGATGGATTCTGTGGATAAACAACTTAAGCGAAAGAAAATGGATGTGAGATTTGGTACTAGGAATGTTAGAAGGGCAGGTTCACTCTGGCCAGTGGCAGAAGAAATCTCAAAATATAAGTTGGATTTAGTGGGAGCACAGGAGGTCAGATGGGTTGGAGGTGGCACCGAACCAGCAGGTGAATATACATTTTTCTATGGAAAGGGGAATGAAAATCATGAATTAGGTACAAGTTTCTTCTCTACATAAGAGAATCGTATCAGCAGTTAAGAGGGTAGAGTTCGTTAGTGATAGAATGTAATACATAATACTAAAAGGTCGCTAGTGTGATACCATCACTCTGAATGTCCATGCCCCAACAGAAGATAAAATTGATGATATAAAAGGACAGGTTATATGAAGAACCAGAACTTGTATTTGATAAATTCCTGAAGTACCATATGAAAATTTTGTTAGATTTCAAATTTCGGGTTCTTGCAGGGCTTTGGCAGAGTTATACAGGCTTCTTTCCAAGCCTCTGGAAAGTGATGGAGTTGAAGGCAGTGATTTCCTAATTTTAGGGATCAAATTTCTTTTGAGATGTCACATGGTCGAAATTTAAATGAGGGGTTTTTGTCGGCGGTAGTCAGCAGAGCTTGGACGCGAGCCTCCACCCACCGGGTATGGTCAGTGTCACTCAATTCATGCGGCGTGAACAGGTTTTCTAAATGATTTGCAATTACATTAGCTTTTCTATCTGATAAAATGCAGGACCTAGTGGACAATGGTGCACTCCTCTTTGTGAGGGATCTTGCAGTAGGCCATATTGCGTGAGGTTCCAAACAGGGAGCTTTGCATTGAGATTACCTGCCAGAATGGACTTCGTTCTAAGGTTTAAGGACGGCGTCACACCAAGGAAACTGGCAAACGCAATTTCCGGTTATTGTTATCAGCCTAAGTTGAGCACATGTTACTGAGTGGAACAGCGCAGATTGAGGGAACGGCAACGCAACTCGCAGAAAGACTGAAACTCCAGGCAACGGAGCCCTTGGTTTCCTAGTGTCAGCTGTTCTATAACACGCTTCAGTGATTGATTTGTTTCTCAAGATTGTACGAAAGGTTGATGAAACTGCTAATTTTGTTTTTGTGCAGTTAATTGAGCAAGACAAACGCCACCCAAACTATTCTAGACAGGATAAAATAGATTTGACGTGGGGAAATATTTTATTCTGAGACTAAGGAGTCTGGATCCAGCGCCCTCAATTTAAATTGTCACAGGAGAACGGATGCACCCAATGTTTTCTTTTCCTAATATTGTATTTAAACGTCCTGTTACATTAATATATCATTTATGTCACATATATTTCCGTCTTAAATAGAACTTATATAGCCACCCTTCCACATTACATGGCTCGGCTATATACGGCCATCATCAGATGTCTTGTCATGCTAAAATTGTTGCACTGTACGTCAAAATTATGTTTCCCGTCTGAACGCAATATTTATTTGACCTTAATTAAAACAAATTAATTAACATCCCAATATTTTCCTTATGACCGTCGTCCTCTCTTCTCACGCCGTCTCAAACGGTCTCAAATGCCACCACATTGCGATAGGATCAGTATCATTACCTTCCATTGCAGAAGGTAGGTGCACGAAATTAAAAAAATTAAAATTACGCATTACACTTCAAGACTTGGAAAGAAAGGAAAAGAGAGACACGCCCACGGCCTCTGACTTTAACTTGGATCTGTCGGTATTTGCGACAGACCCATACAGACGATCAACTAGCTTGTGAGATTGCACTTGGAGATACCCTCACAACTCGACATGGCGGACAGCGAACTCGGAAGCGCTCCACGGCAAGGGCAAAAGTGACAAGGTTCAGTACCTCTATAAGGGTATCCACCGCCAGCACCCCACTCGAGGATTATGAGTACTACCGAGACCGTCTTCAGGAGACCCTGGATCAGATATCCAGGATCTTCTAGATGACCATGAATGGCTGAAGACTACATCGACTTAGCCAAGCGAGCACTGGTGAAGGCCAAGCGGGAGGTGAAGAACCGACTCGTCTCGACAGGAGAGACGCCTCCATCTCGACGACCCCTCGGCCTCCGTTAGCGCATTCGTTCAAATTACCCCCGATAAAACTCGAACTGTTTGCGGGAGATGTGGAAACGTGGGAACGGATCTGGGAGTAGTTTGAATCTTCCATCGATAAGGACCCCGCTCTGCCAGCCATACACAAACACGTATTCCTCAAAGGATATTTGGAAGGTGAACCGAAGATGCTAGTGGATGGCATTGCCATGACTGCTAACACTTATGGAGAAAGTAAGAAAATTCTCCACGCTTGGTATGATTGTACACGAAGGTGTCAATAAAGCCAATACTCCAGTCCAGAACTTGGTATTATTAGTCACGGAGTCATAAACACGCGACAATATTCATGTCTGAACTTTCGTTCGAGAATCCAACTTTCAGTATAGTTCCAAAGCAGCCACTGGTTGCTATAGCGCTTTAGTTTTGGTTTACTTCGCTCTGTGTAAGGAAGGCAGGTTGCATGAACATAAGTTACTCGCATATGGTAGGGCATGAACGAGCAAGCATTCTTTTGTTTAATCGTATCGTGTCTATTTTGGGAGTATTAATTTCTTATGTGGGGATTGTAGTAAATTGTAAGACGTGAGAGTTGACGGTTGTGTAGGTGTGCGTGATATTCCTGGGATACATGTATGTCGTCAGACTTAGAACTCGACGTATTATTCGATAACACGTGGGACTGGAAAAGAGCACGGGAGACACGAAGGAATATAATGGCACAGAAGCTTGGCGTAACACAGAGGAGTCTTCCAGTTGAATTGTCAAATGACGTCACGCAAGCAACTTCGCAGAACACTGTGCACATAAGTATGTCAAGCCAATATAACACAAACACTTTCAACCAGAACGTTTGATTTTATAAATTCGCACCTACTAACAGAGACACTGCTGTATGAGCGACACTGACGTGGTTTGCTCCAGAACGAATCGTTTTGCAGATTAATAATCCCGAGTTTTGTCAACATAAGGAGCAGGAGGAAAGGAAACAAAGGAATTGTTCCATATTACTTTGAAGACCTGGGATCAGAGGGGAACGCTTTGCGAGTGCAGTTGGGACCTCCTCCCACCGTCGCGTCCCTATGTCGGCGTGTTTCAGTGTTTCGTGTTGCGACCCTACTCTGACTTCTTGTAAAGCAGTTGACTTTACATCCGTAGCAGCAAAACCCAGAACTGGATCCTTTCTTTAGACATATTTATTCACTTCAAATCCTCATAATCTGCATCTTCAGGAATCATTTTAATATTATCCAAGCATGTTCTGTATTGGTATAACAAACGCAAGTTGAACTTCCACCACAGAACTTTCTTCCTTAGCTCCGCACCGGCCCAATTAATGTCAAAGACGGGGAATTACGAGGTGTAAGTGAAGTTGTTTTCCAGACATCTTTTTCTTCAGCGGTTCTGGGGCTGGTGCAGTATA